TGTTCTCCTAAAGTTGTAGTTAGTCTGTGTTCTCCTATAGTTGTAGTTAGTCTGTGTTCTCCTATAGTTGTAGTTAGTCTGTGTTCTCCTATAGTTGTAGTTAGTCTGTGTTCTCCTATAGTTGTAGTTAGTCTGTGTTCTCCTAAAGTTGTAGTTAGTCTGTGTTCTCCTATAGTTGTAGTTAGTCTGTGTTCTCCTATAGTTGTAGTTAGTCTGTGTTCTCCTATAGTTGTAGTTAGTCTGTGTTCTCCTAAAGTTGTAGTTAGTCTGTGTTCCCCTATAGTTGTAGCTAGTCTGTGTTCTCCTATAGTAGTTGTCTGTGTTCTCTAAAGTGTGTAGTTAGTCTCTCCTAAAGTTGTAGTTAGTCTGTGTTCTCCTATAGTTGTAGTTAGTCTGTGTTCTCCTATAGTTGTAGTTAGTCTGTGTTCTCCTAAAGTTGTAGCTAGTCTGTGTTCTCCTATAGTTGTAGCTAGTCTGTGTTCTCCTATAGTTGTAGTTAGTCTGTGTTCTCCTATAGTTGTAGCTAGTGTGTGTTCTCCTATAGTTGTAGTTAGTCTGTGTTCTCCTAAAGTTGTAGCTAGTCTGTGTTCTCCTATAGTTGTAGCTAGTCTGTGTTCTCCTAAAGTTGTAGTTAGTCTGTGTTCTCCTATAGTTGTAGTTAGTCTGTGTTCTCCTAAAGTTGTAGTTAGTCTGTGTTCTCCTATAGTTGTAGCTAGTCTGTGTTCTCCTATAGTTGTAGCTAGTCTGTGTTCTCCTATAGTTGTAGTTAGTCTGTGTTCTCCTATAGTTGTAGTTAGTCTGTGTTCTCCTAAAGTTGTAGCTAGTCTGTGTTCTCCTAAAGTTGTAGCTAGTCTGTGTTCTCCTATAGTTGTAGCTAGTCTGTGTTCTCCTATAGTTGTAGTTAGTCTGTGTTCTCCTATAGTTGTAGCTAGTCTGTGTTCTCCTATAGTTGTAGCTAGTCTGTGTTCTCCTATAGTTGTAGCTAGTCTGTGTTCTCCTATAGTTGTAGCTAGTCTGTGTTCTCTCCTATAGTTGTAGCTAGTCTGTGTTCTCCTATAGTTGTAGCTAGTCTAGTGTTTCTCCTATAGTTAGTAGCTAGTCTGTGTTCTCCTATAGTTGTAGTTAGTCTGTGTTCTCCTATAGTTGTAGCTAGTCTGTGTTCTCCTATAGTTGTAGCTAGTCTGTGTTCTCCTATAGTTGTAGTTAGTCTGTGTTCTCCTATAGTTGTAGTTAGTCTGTGTTCTCCTATAGTTGTAGTTAGTCTGTGTTCTCCTATAGTTGTAGTTAGTCTCCTGTGTTCTCCTATAAGTTGTAGTTAGTCTGTGTTCTCCTATAGTTGTAGCTAGTCTGTGTTCTCCTAAAGTTGTAGCTAGTCTGTGTTCTCCTATAGTCTTGTAGTTGTAGTCTGTGTTCTCCTATAGTTGTAGCTAGTCTGTGTTCTCCTATAGTTGTAGCTAGTCTGTGTTCTCCTATAGTTGTAGTTGTAGTTTCTCCTAGTCTGTGTTCTCCTAAAGTTGTAGTTAGTCTGTGTTCTCCTCCTAAGTTGTAGTTAGTCTGTGTTCTCCTATAGTTGTAGCTAGTCTGTGTTTCTCCTATAGTTGTAGCTAGTCTGTGTTCTCCTATAGTTGTAGTTAGTCTGTGTTCTCCTATAGTTGTAGCTAGTCTGTGTTCTCCTAAAGTTGTAGCTAGTCTGTGTTCTCCTATAGTTGTAGCTAGTCTGTGTTCTCCTAAAGTTGTAGCTAGTCTGTGTTCTCCTATAGTTGTAGTTAGTCTGTGTTCTCCTATAGTTGTAGTTAGTCTGTGTTCTCCTATAGTTGTAGTTAGTCTGTGTTCTCCTATAGTTGTAGTTAGTCTGTGTTCTCCTATAGTTGTAGCTAGTCTGTGTTCTCCTATAGTTGTAGTTAGTCTGTGTTCTCCTATAGTTGTAGCTAGTCTGTGTTCTCCTATAGTTGTAGTTAGTCTGTGTTCTCCTATAGTTGCAGTTAGTCTGTGTTCTCCTAAAGTTGTAGTTTGTGTTCTCCTAAAGTTGTAGTTTGTGTTCTCCTATAATTGTAGCTAGCCTGTGTTCTCCTATAGTTGTAGTTAGTCTGTGTGCTCCTAATGTTGTATATAGTCTGTGTTCTCCTATAGTTGTAGCTAGTCTGTGTTCTCCTAAAGTTGTAGCTAGTTTGTGTTTTCCTAATGTTGTAGCTAGTCTGTGTTCTCCTAAAGTTGTAGCTAGCCTGTGTATTCCTAATGTTATAAACAATGTTTGCTTAAACTTTCAGGCAGACAACATGATAAATGTTGTAGATGTGGACTCGTCCTCCATTGTACTGTCTCACCGGCTGACCCCACTCAATACCCCTCCTCTGGAGAAAGGCACGTCTGTCTATCTGACTCTGCAGGAAGTGCTCATTGTTGGCAACTGCCATGATCAGGTATTTCGTCCTCTGTCCTCCTGCTTCCTCCTACTCACCTTCTCTTCTTCATTATCTTATTCCTCTTGCCACTCATCCTTTACTTTCTATTTGTTTCATTACACTTTTTCCTTGTCTTCAACATCTGAGCAGAACATTGAAGGAAATATGTTCAAAAGTGATGAAACCTGTAACAGTTCTTTATTTTAATTCCGAAATTCACTTATGAGCATGTTCACTTAGAAAACTTTTTAGTTAGGAGACTGTTCACTTACAAGACTTTTTAGTTAGGAGACTGTTCACTTACAAGACTTTTTTTTAGTTAGGAGACTGTTCACTTACAAGACTTTTTAGTTAGGAGACTGTTCACTTACAAGACTTTTTTTTAGTTAGGAGACTGTTCACTTACAAGACTTTTTAGTTAGGAGACTGTTCACTTACAAGACTTTTTAGTTAGGAGACTGTTCACTTACAAGACTTTTTAGTTAGGAGACTGTTCACTTAGAAGACATTTTTAGTTAGGAGACTGTTCACTTAGAAGACTTTTTTAGTTAGGAGACTGTTCACTTAGAAGACATTTTTAGTTAGGAGACTGTTCACTTAGAAGACTTGTTAGTTAGGAGACTGTTCACTTAAAAGACTTTTTAGTTAGGAGACTGTTCACTTAGGAGACTTTTTAGTTAGGAGACTGTTCACTTAGAAGACTTTTTAGTTAGGAGACTGTTCACTTAGAAGACTTTTTAGTTAGGAGACTGTTCACTTAGGAGACTGTTCACTTAGAAGACTTTTTAGTTAGGAGACTGTTCACTTAGAAGACTTTTTAGTTAGGAGACTGTTCACTTAGGAGACTGTTCACTTAAAAGACTTTTTAGTTAGGAGACTGTTCACTTAAAAGACTTTTTAGTTAGGAGACTGTTCACTTAGGAGACTTTTTAGTTAGGAGACTGTTCACTTAGAAGACTTGTTAGTTAGGAGACTGTTCACTTAGAAGACTTTTTAGTTAGGAGACTGTTCACTTAGAAGACTTTTTAGTTAGGAGACTGTTCACTTAGAAGACTTTTTAGTTAGGAGACTGTTCACTTAGAAGACTTTTTAGTTAGGAGACTGTTCACTTAGAAGACTTTTTAGTTAGGAGACTGTTCACTTTCAAGACTTTTTAGTTAGGAGACTGTTCACTTAGAAGACATTTTTAGTTAGGAGACTGTTCACTTAGGAGACTGTTCACTTAGGAGACATTTTAGTTAGGAGACTGTTCACTTAGAAGACTGTTTACTTAGGAGACTGTTCACTTAGAAGACTTTTTAGTTAGGAGACTGTTCACTTAGAAGACTTTTTAGTTAGGAGACTGTTCACTTAGGAGACTGTTCACTTAGAAGACTTTTTAGTTAGGAGACTGTTCACTTAGAAGACTTTTTAGTTAGGAGACTGTTCACTTAGAAGACTTTTTAGTTAGGAGACTGTTCACTTAGAAGACTTTTTAGTTAGGAGACTGTTCACTTAGGAGACTGTTCACTTAGGAGACTGTTCACTTAGGAGACTTTTTAGTTAGGAGACTGTTCACTTAGGAGACTGTTCACTTAGGAGACTTTTTAGTTAGGAGACTGTTCACTTAGGAGACTGTTCACTTAGGAGACTGTTCACTTATGAGACTGTTCACTTAGGAGACTGTTCACTTAGGAGACTGTTCACTTAGGAGACTGTTCACTTAGGAGACTGTTCACTTATGAGACTGTTCACTTAGGAGACTGTTCACTTAGGAGACTGTTCACTTATGAGACTGTTCACTTAGGAGACTGTTCACTTAGGAGACTGTTCACTTAGGAGACTGTTCACTTAGGAGACTGTTCACTTAGGAGACTGTTCACTTAGGAGACTTTTTAGTTAGGAGACTGTTCACTTAGGAGACTGTTCATTTAGGAGACTGTTTACTTATGAGACTGATCAGTTAGGAGACTGGTCAGTTAGGAGACTGGTCAGTTAGGAGACTGGTCAGTTAGGAGACTGTTCACTTAGGAGACTGATCAGTTAGGAGACTGGTCAGTTAGGAGACTGGTCAGTTAGGAGACTGTTCACTTAGGAGACTGCTCAGTTATAAGACTGTTCAGTTATGAGAATGTTCAGACTGCTCAGTATCTTTAGGAGACTGTTGGTGACCTATTTGTGAGATGTGGCCAGAGACTGGTGAGTTCATTCAGAATTTATAACATTGCTGTTATAACCTGTATTGAAAAAATGGTTACATTTTTTGCAGTAAATCGTAGATACATCATGATACAAGACCTTAGCACCTTGGAAGAAAATGGTCATCCAAAGAAATTGATCATCCTTGCAAATTAGTGTTATCAAGAAATTCCTAATCTGAAGAAATACAGCATTTAATAACATTTGTGATTGCCTGCAATTCATGATCTCAAATAATTTTTTATTTCAAGAAATTGATAACCTAAAGAAAGTCATGTCTCAAGAAATCAATAATACTAAGAAATTAACCATTGTAGGAAATTTACTATCCAAGAAATTTGTGATTTCAAGAAATGGTTGTTTTAAAACCATATTATGTTGCAGGTGAAGTTTAGTGAGCTCACCTTGGACATGTTTAGAATGCTGCAGACGTTGGAGAGGGAGCCACAAGATGATCTGTCCAATCAAATCTACGACAACTCCCCGGCTCCTGGCAAGACACCATTCGTAAGTATTTCACGTTTTCTTCTGTGTTTGATGCACCTCACAATCGAAGAGAACATTACAGTTACAGTTGCTGGGTGGGCGGGGTTTACGGGGTGGGAGAGGGGGACCCTCTCTTAGTCTTTTTCAGTATTTCTGGAAAAGTCTGTTAGCTGATTGTTGAACGATTATATATTTGCCCTCATTATGTTTGTCTACAAGAGGGCCCGCGTGCCAATTTTGGTCCTCGGAGGCCTAGCAAGTGTCCCGCAGATAACTGCTAATTGTATTGTATTAGTGATCTTTCTCTGCTGGGGCTTGGGCTTCTGGTCCTTGACGATCCTAATGTTCAACATTTTGGTCCCTGGTTAAACTTTGTTGAATAGCCCTGGTCTACAGATTGTTTTCATAATTTTTGATCAATACTGATTTATTATATTCTCATTTGTTACTCAGTGCTCTAGTAATTGTTGACCAACGATGATTCAACATGTTCTAGTAATTGTTGACCAATAATGATTTAACATGCTCTAGTAATTGTTGACCAAGGATGATTTAACATGTTCTAGTAATTGTTGACCAAGGATGATTTAACATGTTCTAGTAATTGTTGACCAGTAATGATTTAACATACTCTAGTAATTGTTGACCAGTAATGATTTAACATGTTCTAGTAATTGTTGAAAAAGGATGATTTAACATGTTCTAGTAATTGTTGACAAGGATGATTTAACATGTTCTAGTAATTGTTGACCAGTAATGATTTAACATACTCTAGTAATTGTTGACCAGTAATAAAGTAACATACTCTAGTAATTGTTGACCAGTAATGATGTAACATGCTCTAGTAACTGTTGACCAATAATGATGTAACATGCTCTAGTAACTGTTGACCAGTAATGAAGTAACATGCTCTAGTAACTGTTGACCAATAATGATGTAACATGCTCTAGTAACTGTTGACCAGTAATGAAGTAACATGCTCTAGTAACTGTTGACCAATAATGATGTAACATGCTCTTGTAACTGTTGACCAATAATGATGTAACATGCTCTAGTAACTGTTGACCAATAATGATGTAACATGCTCTTGTAACTGTTGACCAATAATGATGTAACATGCTCTAGTAACTGTTGACCAATAATGATGTAACATGCTCTTGTAACTGTTGACCAATAATGATGTAACATGCTCTAGTAACTGTTGACCAGTAATGAAGTAACATGCTCTAGTAACTGTTGACCAATAATGATGGAACATGCTCTTGTAACTGTTGACCAATAATGATGTAACATGCTCTAGTAACTGTTGACCAGTAATGATGTAACATGCTCTAGTAACTGTTGACCAATAATGATGTAACATGCTCTAGTAACTGTTGACCAGTAATGAAGTAACATGCTCTTGTAACTGTTGACCAATAATGATGTAACATGCTCTAGTAACTGTTGACCAATAATGATGTAACATGCTCTAGTAACTGTTGACCAATAATGATGTAACATGCTCTAGTAACTGTTGACCAGTAATGAAGTAACATGCTCTTGTAACTGTTGACCAATAATGATGTAACATGCTCTAGTAACTGTTGACCAATAATGATGTAACATGCTCTAGTAACTGTTGACCAATAATGATGTAACATGCTCTAGTAACTGTTGACCAGTAATGAAGTAACATGCTCTTGTAACTGTTGACCAATAATGATGTAACATGCTCTAGTAACTGTTGACCAATAATGATGTAACATGCTCTTGTAACTGTTGGCCAATAATGATGTAACATCCTCTTGTAACTGTTGGCCAATAATGATGTAACATCCTCTTGTAACTGTTGGCCAATAATGATGTAACATCCTCTTGTAACTTGGCCAATAATAATGTAACATCCTTTTGTAACTGTTGAGCAACAGTGATGTAACATGCTCTAGTAACTGTTGACCAGTAATGGTGTAACATGCTCTAGTAAATGTTGCCTCAATAATAATTTAACATACTCAAGTAAATGTTGCCCCATTAATAATTTAACATACTCTAGTAATTGTTGACATTAATGATGTCACATGCTCTTGTAACTGTTGATTAAAAAATGTTGTAAGATGCTCTAGTAATTGTTTACCAATAATGATGTAACATTCTCTAATAAATCTATTATGACCTGTATTTTAACAGGAAAATGGCGAGCGGACCAACAAGCGAGACAACCCACATAAATATTTGCTGTACAAACCGACCTACGGACAGCTGAACACATTTTTGGCATCGGCTTTCAAGGAGTTACCTCCAAATGGTGCCATGTTGCTTTACATTTCTGCTGATGGTTGCCTGGGTAACCAGAAACACACTGATGATGGTAAGTTTTTAAAAATGAAGTTGATTTTGATTTCAAAATGTTTATTTTATTACTGAGTTTCTTCTGTGAGCTTCTGCATGCTGCTACAGTTTATGTTGTAGTTTCTGTTGTTGCTGTTGGTTTTGTTGTTACAGTTTATGTTGTAGTTTCTGTTGTTGCTGTTCGTTTTGTTGTTACAGTTTATGTTGTAGTTTCTGTTGTTGCTGTTGGTTTTGTTGTTACAGTTTATGTTGTAGTTTCTGTTGTTGCTGTTGGTTTTGTTGTTACAGTTTATGTTGTAGTTTCTGTTGTTGCTGTTGGTTTTGTTGTTACAGTTTATGTTGTAGTTTATGTTGTTGCTGTTGGTTTTGTTGTTACAGTTTATGTTGTAGTTTCTGTTGTTGCTGTTGGTTTTGTTGTTACAGTTTATGTTGTAGTTTCTGTTGTTGCTGTTGGTTTTGTTGTTACAGTTTATGTTGTAGTTTCTGTTGTTGCTGTTGGTTTTGTTTGTTACAGTTTATGTTGTAGTTTCTGTTGTTGCTGTTGGTTTTGTTGTTACAGTTTATGTTGTAGTTTCTGTTGTTGCTGTTGGTTTTGTTGTTACAGTTTATGTTGTAGTTTCTGTTGTTGCTGTTGGTTTTGTTGTTACAGTTTATGTTGTTTTCCCGATGTGGGTTCTGGGACCCCATTCTGTGGGAATGGGAGATAAGACCCGTGCCTCCCTAACAAGGATGTAATACAAGGTGACTAATCAAGAGAGTTTCCTTCAAAGTTACAATGCTTTTGTCTAAGAGGTGATGAACCAACAGTCTGCACATAAATAAGGCAAATCTGTAAATTGGATGTGCATGCAAAACTTCAATTCTGGAATAAGACCAAAGTTCAGAAATGGACAAACAGCCAGAGCTTTCTGCCTGAGTTTATATGCAGTGAACACTATAAATAAGAAGAAGAAGAAGAAGATATTGGTGTTTCTTTTGTTTTTTGCTAATTTTGTTGCTACAGTTGGATTTTGTTTTTGTTGGTTTTCTCCCAGTCATTTCTGACTGTTTTGTTTGTCTTTTCTAGCAGCCTATGACCTTGGTGGTGTCATCACCAACAGCAGACGTGAAGGAGAGGAACCTTCTAAAGCCAAGAAGACAGAGTTGTATAAGGAAATACACTGGTCAGTTGCATGTTTGTGTTGTGTGTAGCAGTGTTCATTAGCACCCTTGTTTATTTATGGACCTTGTTATCTCACGATTGGTTTGGCCATGTTTCAAGACTACCACCAGATAGTGCACCACAGAGAGCCCTGTCACTTAGACATAATGGAAGCTGACCTAGAGGTCAACCACACAAGTTGTGAATAGATGAAATATCAGACTCTGTAAACACCAGCATCAATATAGCACACACCAAGGCTCGCACCCACTGCCTCCTTAAAATTTGATGCTGAAAGACAGAACAGATTTAGAGAAGATGAAGTTATCCAATAACCCATTTTATGTTATCACAGTCGACATCTCTGCATGTTAGTCATTCCCATGCATGCTGAGTCCTCCAGTACTGACTGACTGACTTACTTACTGACTGACTATCTGATTAACTGAGTAACTAACTTCCTCATCACTCTTCTATGTTGTTTATTTGTCCGTGACTTCCTCATCATTCTTCTGTGCTCTGTTTATTTGTCCGTGACTTCCTCATCATTCTTCTGTGCTCTGTTTATTTGTCCATGACTTCATCATTCTTCTATAAAACCAGTTTTCTGCAGCTTCCATTTTCTTCTGCATACATTATATTGTGGTTGACAAAGAGGCTGTGATATTTATACCTTTGAGACAACACATCTGATTTCAGCAAAGCTTTAATTAGTTACCTTTGACTGCATGATATTTAAGTGGGCCTGCTCTGTCTCCCAGCAGATCCCGCATGGGGAGCTACCAAATAATTTCTCACCAATATGCTGATTGTCCATGATTCACTCACCTACATTGAATTTGATTCACATCAAATAGTATGCACTCAGCATGTATTGTGAAGTATATCATGGGGTTGTTGCAGGCAGTATCAGCACATATACTCGGAGTCAGCGGTTGTTGGAGGTGGTTGTAAAGGTTTTCCCAGGACATTTCATTAAAGGGTTGGCTTGTTATACCTCATCCTGGAATCCACAGAAGGAATCTCCGGTTGTTGGATTATCATTACAAGGTTTTCTCTACACATTATTGAAAAGGTTTTGTTGAAGTATTGTTTTGTATAACTGGACCAAGATGATTGGGTGAGGACATGAACTGCATTGAAACTTGAAAGACAGAAGATTAAAATAGAGAAGGAGAAAGCCACACGACAACTGCTAGATGTTGGAAAATGATAATGTTGTAGATAGTTTTGTTTGACTGTTGATCTCTTTCGCAGCTTACATCCTGGAGACCTCTATCCGTACACTCGGAAACCCCTGTTTCTGATCATTGACAGCAGTAATAGTTCAGCATTCCAGGTGTGTCCATGTTGTCTGTCCCTGTTCACTCTTGTTTGTCTATGTCTTTGTAAGCCAGTACCGTATGTTTCAGTGTGTATAAGACGCCCCAATGCGTAAGGCAACCCATATTTTTTCTTTTTTAGTCCATAACTAAGAAATAAGTAGTTTAAATGCATTCCATGTATCAGACACCCCCCCCTCCCCACCCCCATCCCCCCACATTACCCCAATTTTAAACTTTAAAAAAGAAATGGGACAACTTATTGTCTTATACACAGACAAATACAGAAAGTAAAGGAGCGTTTGTCCACCAGTGGCGCGGTGATCTTACAATGCTAGACATATTTGTATAGACCAGTCGGTACTCGGTAGGTGTCATGGCAAACATTATGATGGCCGCCCTTACTTCCCAGAACATTACCTAATACTTTCGGCTGGGTCAACCTGGGATCAAGGTAAGTTTTAAGAAGAAAAAAAAAATCAGCCTTGATATGAATATGAACTCATAACATTTGCGCCGGCAAACGAGTTTCTTATGTCATTGTAGTATATTTTAATATAACTGAAAAACCAGAGAAGAGCCGCCCATGCAGTCCAGAACTGTGGTCAGTGCAGAAACTGACCCTGACCACGACTGTCGATTTTCAGGTGTGAACTTTATGAAAGAACAGCTACAAGAATAGAGACTTGAGGTTGTACAACCCAGTATGTTGTGATCAGTATGAATGAGCCTACAGTAGCCATATGTTGTGATTGTACAGTCCAGTATGTTGTGATCAGTATGAATGAGCCTACAATAGCCATATGTTGTGATTGTACAGTCCAGTATGTTGTGATCAGTATGAATGAGCCCTACAGTAGACATATGTTGTGATTGTACAGTCCAGTGTGTTGTGATCAGTATGAATGAGCCCTACAGTAGACATATGTTGTGATTGTACAGTCCAGTATGTTGTGATCAAGAGGTAATGAATCAACAGTAGACAATCTAGAGGTTGTACACACCAGAATGTCGTGGTTAGAATGTTACAGTCCAGATGTTATATGATTCATTAATGGACAGTCTAGTCATTTTATGTGCCGGTATTTGGCAGTTTGGAGATTAGGTGGGCCATAAGGGAAAGACAAATGCTGTTAAGGGGACATATCAGTCGGAGAGGTAGAATAAAGCCGGTCATATAATATGAGAATAGACTAGACAAGAGATGTCAGGTAAAGACTAAAGCGACACGTGGGAAGTAGCTCGAACAGCTGAATATCAATTCATAGTGTAAGTCATTCTTTCTCATTTGGTGATCCACAGAACAGATATAAGGGCCTGTGTGACTGTTGACAAGTATGGAGTGCATAGACAGACTTGTCAAAATAAGAACCACTGTTTGGAGCAGTTGCAGCTCATTAGAATATCCCGACACATATAGGAATTCTTGCTGTCAACATTTATTTCTAGATCAGATGACTGTTTCATTTGTATTTGTTGTCAGATATTTGACTAGTGAAATTGTGATTGCAGAGTTTCCCTAACTTGTTTGGCCAACCACTTGTGTGTCTGCTGTCACCTGAACAGATTCCCGCCACAATGCAGGGTTAGTGATAACCACTACTGTTGCAGTCATGGTGTATCTTTGATGTAGCTATAACTGTTACTGTCATGGTGTATCATAGCTGTAGCTGTCACAGTTTAGCTCGTGGTGTATCTTTGCTGTAGTGGTTACTGTTGCTGTCATGGTTATCATTTCAGTAGCTGTTACTGTTGATGTCATGGTTATCATTTCAGTAGCTGTTACTGTTGATGTCATGGTGTATCATTGCTGTAGCGATTACTTTTGCTGTCATGTTGTATCATAGCTGTAGTGATCAAGTAATGAATCACTAGACAATCTTTTGTACTCCATGGTGGCTATCTTTGCTGTTGTGATCAAGAGGTTCACTGTCTAGCTGTACACACCAGTTTGTCAAGAATGTTTACAGTCCAGCTGCTACTGTTCAACAGTGTCATGGTGTACACACCAGCTGTAGCTGTCACAGTCCAGTTTCTTGTGATGAAGAGGTAATGAATCAACAGTAGACAATCTATTGTACACACCAGAATGTCGTGTTAGAATGTTACAGTCCAGATGTTTGCTGTTCATTAATGTACAGTGTAGTCTGTCATGTCATGTTATCTTTGTGCTGTTTGCTGTTTATTGAGATTAGTCATGGGGTATCATTGCTGTAGCTATAACTGTCGGAGAGGTCATGGTGTATCTTGAGAATGTAGCTGTCACAGTTTCAGCTAAAGCGACACGTGGGAAGTATCTCTGCTGAATAGTGGTCATAGTGTAAGCATTCTTCTCATTTGGTATCATTTCAGTAGCTGTTGACTGTTGACAAGTATGGTGTATCATTGTCAAAATAGCCACTGTTACTTTGCAGCTCATTACAATATCCCGTATCAATTCTTGCTGTAGCTGTTACTGTTCTAGCTCATGGTGTGTTCTTTGCTATTTGTTGTCAGATATTTGTCAGTGAAATTGTCATTTTCAGAGCTCCTAACTTGTTTGGCCACTGTTGTGTGTCTGCTGTCACCTGAACAGATTCCCGCCACTGTAGGTGTGATAACCGCTATGTTGCTGTCATGGTGTATCTTTGCTGTAGCTATAACTGTTGCTGTCATGGTGTATCTTTGCTGTAGCTGTAACTGTTGCTCATGGTGTATCTTTGCTGTAGCTGTAACTGTTGCTGTCATGGTGTATCATAGCTGTAGCTGTCACAGTTTAGCTCGTGGTGTATCTTTGCTGTAGTGGTTACTGTTGCTGTCATGGTTATCATTTCAGTAGCTGTTACTGTTGATGTCATGGTGTATCATTGCTGTAGCTGTCACAGTTTTGCTCATGGTGTATCATTGCTGTAGCTGTCACAGTTTTGCTCATGGTGTATTATTGCTGTAGCTGTCACAGTTTTGCTCATGGTGTATCATTGCTGTAGCTGTCACTGTTTTGTCATGGTGTATCATAGCTGTAGCTGTCACTGTGCTGTCAAGGTGTATCATTGCTGTAGCTGTCACTGTGCTGTCATGGTATATCATTGCTGTAGCTGTCACTGTTTTTGTCATGGTGTATCATAGCTGTAGCTGTCACAGTTTTTCTCATGGTGTATCATTGCTGTAGCTGTCACTGTGCTGTCATGGTGTATCACTGCTGTAGCTGTTGTTACAGTTATGATACATCATTACTGTAGCTGTTACTGTTGCTGTCATTATATATCATTGCTGTAGCTGTTGCTGTTATGGTATATCATTGCTGTAGCTGTTACTGTTGCTGTCATGGTATATCATTGCTGTTACTGTTGCTGTTATGGTATATCATTGCTGTTGCTGTTACTGTTGCTGTCATGGTTATCATTTCAGTAGCTGTTACTGTTGATGTCATGGTGTATTTTTGCTGCAGGTGTTACTATTGCTGTCATGGTGTATCATTGCTGTAGCTATAACTGTTGCAGTCATGGTGTATCATAGCTGTAGCTGTTAATTGTTGCTTTCATTGTATATCATTGCTGTTGCTGTCATGGTATGTCATTGCTGTTATGGTATATCATTGCTGTTACTGTTGCTGTCATGGTTATCATTTCAGTAGCTGTTACTGTTGATGTCATGGTGTATCTTTGTTGTAGGTGTTACTATTGCTGTCATGGTGTATCATTGCTTTAGCTATAACTGTTGCAGTCATGGTGTATCTTTGCTGTAGCTATAACTGTTGCTGTCATGGTGTATCATAGCTGTAGCTGTCACAGTTTAGCTCATGGTGTATCTTTGCTGTAGTGGTTACAGTTGCTGTCATGGTTATCATTTCAGTAGCTGTTACTGTTGATGTCATGGTGTATCACTGCTGTAGCTGTTGTTACTGTTATGATATATCATTGCTGTAGCTGTTACTGTTGCTGCCATGGTGTATCACTGCTGTAGCTGTTAATTGTTGCTTTCATTATATATCATTGCTGTTGCTGTCATGGTGTATCATTGTTGTAGCCATTACTGTTGCTGTCATTGTATATCATTGCTGTAGCTGTTGCTGTTATGGTATATCATTGCTGTAGCTGTTGCTGTTAAAGTATATCATTGCTGTTACTGTTGCTGTTATGGTATATCATTGCTGTTGCTGTTACTGTTGCTGTTATGGTATATCATTGCTGTAGCTGTTACTGTTGCTGTCATGGTATATCATTGCTGTTACTGTTGCTGTCATGGTATATCATTGCTGTTACTGTTGCTGTCATGGTATATCATTGCTGTAGCCATTACTGTTGCTGTCATAGTATATTATTGATATAGCCATTACTGTTACTGTTATGGTATATCATTGCTGTAGCCATTACTGTTGCTGTCATGGTATATCATTGATATAGCCATTACTGTTGCTGTCATGGTATATCATTGATATAGCCATTACTGTTGCTGTCATGGTATATCATTGCTGTAGCCATTACTGTTGCTGTCATGGTATATGATTGTTGTAGCCATTACTGTTGCTGTCATGGTATATCATTGCTGTTGCTGTCATGGTATATCATTACTGTTGCTTTCATGGTATATCATTGCTGTTGCTGTCATGGTATATCATTGTTGATAGCTGTTACTAGAGGTTCATCTAGAGTGAGGGAAAATATTGTGGCAGGAAAAAAAAAGGATGAGCACTAGTGGCTGCCTTGACCTCCATTCGCAAACTGGAAACGTTGTGATCTCATATGCCTGGCTTTGTGGCACTAAGCGACATCCATTTGCTTTTGCTATGAACTCCAGTGCACTTTGTCTGCCCCTCAACACGGAGCCATCTGTATAGAACATCACATCAGCTGGGTGGGAATTGTCATGAATCGTTTGTTGATCTTATGTTTCTGCAGCGCAAGCTGCCCAGTCCCTGCACTCATGACCTAAAGTTATTAGAACCCTGCACAAATCTGATTCTTGCTTGGACACTTTGACCCACTCCTCTCCGCACCCACATTTATCAAGCCTGCACATGTCTAAATGTGTCTTCAGCATGCGCCATCCAAGACCTTCCTGTTTTCAGCCTATGACCTAGGGCTTTATGCAGGAGGTGCCTCTTCTCTGCAGCTACTTTGAGATATGACTTTGCTTGCAGAACTTTGAGCCTATCTGCACAATAGTAGACAGTGCAAGTATATATCGCATACATACTACCGGGGTATCTGTTGTACATCTCAGAATTATCCGCATGGCTTCATTCTGTATGCGTTCAAGTTTCATCAGCTGACTCTTTGATATGGTAAGCATTCTGTCACAGACCTCTGGGTGACCTTGCTGGTCCGTGGCTCGTAACTGGGCCTATGACAGACAGACAAACCTTTTACACACACTAAACCCGAACGCACACAGAGCACACATGACAATCTTTATTGTAAGTACAGGTAATACAATAGACAGTTGACTTCCCGCTGTGTGGCCACCTATTGCTTGGACCCTCTGGCCGAACGAGCTTTACAGTCGCTTCGCTCCCAGTATGTTCCACAAGCAATCTCCTGGTGTACAAACCACAGCACGGCGAGTTACGCTCTTTTCTATCGCCACGCTGACCCAATCAAACTGTCACAGCCTCTGTCCAGTGCAGGGTCAGAGTGCCAAGGTTAGACGTTCTCTCACAGAACATGTACATAACTGATTTAACTGGTCAGAAGTAACTGGAACCTATTTACCTCTTATGGAACAACACGCTACCTGGTACCAGTTACATACACAGCACAAAAAATATCCTATTCTAACAGAACACCGTACATAAACTATCCAGTCACTAACAGAAATATCCTAACTCTAATATCCTATCACTGTCTCGCTACACGTCCTCTCTCTCTGACCGTCGCACACCGAATGTCCTGTGTTCTCTCCACCTCGTGTCTCTTGACCCCGGTCCAGCTCAGTCCCAACCGCGGTCATCGTGCTGTCGACTTGTCTCCAACAACGTTGACTCTTTCTTGCCGTGGCCAAACGCTTTATCCTGAGAGCTGGTTTCACCGTGCAATAACAGAACAGACTTGACCAGTCACGGCCCTGACCTTTGTGTCAACCCTGGGGTGTCACCTCAACACGCACACCTTACGGTGTAATACATTCCGCCACTGACTGTACTCTTAGGGTTGTGACACATTCCAAGTCCATAATCTATTGCCAACAGGACACAGCCTGGAGATTTGTGAACATGTCCATTGCTGCCATAATCTTGTGCCTGTACTTGTCCATGTAAAAATTGTTCACTTTTTTCCTTCAAAAGTTGTGAAGTTTGTTTAAGTCTTCCTGTGTGTGTTCAATAACAGATCAACAGCTGAAAGGCAACTTATTCACGTTGTTCCTGCACTGTCCACTGATGGCCATGTGCTGTGTGTGCAACATTGCTGATGTGCCCATCACCCTGTGGGACAAGTGCCAAACTCAGATGGACAAGTTTGTTGCAGACGCCTCCAAGTTGTTTAGTCGGGCACGGAAGCTAGGTAAGACTCTCTGACTGTGACCTCATTGTATTAGTAGATTCCTCCAAGTTGTTTAGCTGGACACAGAAGCTAGGTTGGGCTCTCTGGCTGTGACCTTGTAGAGTTAGTAGATTCCTCCAAGTTGTTTAGCTGGACACAGAAGCTAGGTTGGGCTCTCTGGCTACAAACTTGTTGTGTTAGTCCCAGCTGTGTGCCTGGTTTGTGTTTTAATCACAACACTTGAGATCAGAGAAGTGATCCGTAGAAGGAAGCGAACCAAACCTCTCAGCTCAATATTCCTTAGACTGCTACTTGTGTGTTGGTGATCAAACCATGTGTGGTTGTAATAGCTTTGCTGCTGCATTCAGTTCATTTGTCAAAACAGTCAGCTTTCACATTTGCATTTATTCTCTAGAAGCAGCAGCGCTTGACCAAGAAGTGTTTGAGGATCCAGTCACTGGTTGTGTCATAAACATTATAAGTGTGAGCTTCTCGTGCACACAGCAGCACACCACAACATATTTTTCACTCTTTGCCAAAGCATGAGACATCTGTTATCTCACAGCAATCCGCTGTTCACATTTGTTCCCTGTTGATTTTAACAATTTTAGTTGGTCCCAGAATTGAAATCTTCCTTTAAAGGTCTTTGATTTAATACCATAGAAGAGTTCATAGAAAATTGACTGCAAAACATGCATTCTTTGAAGATTATTTCTAAAGTGTGTACAGAATACCATGGACAAAGATGAAAAGAAATACTGACATTCTAAAAGATCTCAACTTCACGAAAGACTGGCTAATAAACAGCATCTTGTATCGGAAGCTGAAATATTTTGGCCATATCAAGCACCACAGAGGATTGGAAAAATTTATAGCAGAAGGCATGGTACCAGGAAAGAGGTGCAGGTGCCGACCAACACAAAGATGGGCACATCATGTAAGTGACTTCTTCTGTAAGGAAGTACTTGAGTTAGGAGAGCTGGCGGAGATGGAGTTTCTTTCAGCAGACGGTGATCAGAGCCACCTTCTGAAACGCACCTGCTACGTGATGGTGATTCCGAAAATAGGAGTGACATTGGAGTCATTGTTTCAGCAGAGAAGGAAATCTATCTATCATATTGTTTTTAAAACCATCTTTTCTAATTAATGTTTTTTCTTATTATTATTTGACTGACCTATATGATTTTATTTTTAGCATAAGTGTGAATGTCTTAGTTTTAAGTTTGATTGTTTTACTTTTAGCTGTGACAGTTTTTCTTGGTTTTTATTTGTGTCATTTAATTCAGTGTTCTTCAAGTCACTGTTCCAGTTGGACTGTCCAAAGTGTCTGCCTGATCCTGTAACATGTTAGGATAAGTAGTTTTTCCAGGATGGCAGGCTGTAGGATCAGCATCTCAAGGTTGAGAAACAGAAGATGTGGCATCAGCTGACCACAGTTGCCATTTTGTGACATCATATTTAGGAAACAAACAGCTATCCACATGTGGTCAGCTGTCAGGTGGGCCATGAAACTGTTTCCCCTGTTTTGGTGGGCCGCCGGTGTAAACAGGTTGAGAAACACTGATTTCATTGCTGACTGTCTCTGCTTGATTATTGCCTGTGCTTGACCGTTGATGATACTGATAATAATGTCTGTAATGTTCTGGACACTGTCCCACAGACCACGCTTATGTCCAGTTTCTGGGTGATGACTTTCTGCGTCTGCTACTGCTGAGGTTTGTGTTCTGTTACATCGTTCTCATCCTGCACAAGGGGTTCAAGGTAAACACCGTATTTTTGTCAGATAAAATCTGTCAGTCTATTTAAAATATATGTCAGTCTTTTTAAAATATCTGACAGTCTGTTTAATATATCTGTCAGTCTACTCAGTAAAATCTATTAGTATATGTATGTAGTCTTATTTGGCACATGGGATACAAATGTTCATACATATGTTCAGGGAAGAAGAAGTCGAACCTGACAACATAATGATACGTCAGGGCAGAACAGACCGTTAGCCTTGGTTGACAGCTGGTCCAGGAGAGAAGCTCTGACAGGTGGACAAACAGAGCACTGATCTTCTTTGCTGGCAGTTTCTGCAGCATGCTTTGTTCCAGACGTATTGATGTGACCTTTCCTTTGGAGTAAGCAAGCAAGGCCGAGGGAGGGATCATACTGCATGGGCAAAAGATGGTCTCTATAGGTTTATTGCTGTGGTCTTGCTAGTCACACTTGCCATCACCATGGGCTGAGATTTCCCCTGTCTCCCACAACACACTTGCCATCATCATGGGCTGTGATTTCCCCTATCTCCCCACAACACTTGCCATCACCATGGGCTGTGATTTCCCCTATCTCCCCACAACACTTGCCATCACCATGGGCTGTGATTTCCCCTGTCTCCCCACAACACTTGCCATCACCATGGGCTGTTACTTCCCTGTCTCCCCACAACACTTGCCATCACCATGGGCTGTGATTTCCCCTATCTCCCCACAACACTTGCCATCACCATGGGCTGTGATTTCCCCTGTCTCCCCACAACACTTGCCATCACCATAGGCTGTGATTTCCCCTGTCTCCACACACTTGCCATCACCATGGGCTGTGATTTCCCCTGTCTCCACACAACACTTGCCATCACCGTGGGCTGTGATTTTTACAAAATCACTATTTATCCTAGAACCATACTTCAGAAGCCTGTATTTCATCACATTATCTATTTATGCAGTAATGTAAATTAGATATAACATCTTAGATCATGTGTACCAGGGTTCATTGCATCATGTGCTAATGTAAATTAGATATAACATCTTGGATCATGTGTACTGGGGCTTATTGCATCATGCAGTAATTGTAAATTAGATATAACATCTTGGATCATGTGTACTGGGGCTTATTGCATCATGCAGTATTGTAAATTAGTTATAACATCTTGGTTTCTATTTCAGGGACCTAGTTACTACCCAGCATCCCACCCTGCCCTCCCCACGGATGAAATCCTGGAGCATCCAGCCCTCTACAAGCTTGTTCTTGACCTGGCCACTTCGTTAGAGGTCAGGAGTCTTTTTGCAGAGCCTGGTGATGTAGATATCTCTGCATAATGTAATTTGCCAGTTTGTCCTGAGTCTTATGAATTGTGTTTATTAGTCTACAGTTTTTTTTAAAACAAATTAATGTTTAAATGTAAAAGTGAGAAAAGAGGAGTAGAGAGAGAGAGAGAGAGAGAGAGAGAGAGAGAGAGAGAGAGAGAGAGAGAGAGAGAGAGAGAGCCTGATGAGAGAGAGAGAGAGAGAGAGAGAGAGAGAGAGAGAGAGAGAGAAATGAGAGTGAGAGAAAGCGAGAGAGAGAGAGAGAGCGAAAAAGAGAGAGAGAGCTAGAGTTTAAGGTGGGTAACTGTCTAGTTTAGTAACTTAAATACCACATTAGATGTTTCATATGATAATTAATCAGTTGTAGAATTTGTGTGCCAGATTGGATTTGACTATAGTAGAATATTGATACTTTTAGATCTAATTAGATGGATAGTAGATTAAATATGGCTGTCATTACATGTACCAAACTGTATTTAATTGATTGGCATGTTTTTCCATATTGGAAGTGACTGTTGATAAATTTGATATGCTAGATTGAATTTGGTGATAAGTTAAATGGATATGCCAGCTTGAATTTGGCCAATAGTAGAATAAATATATCAGAATATATATTGCAAATAGTAGAACCGATATTCATGGTTAAATATGGCAATACATAGATTTAATGTGAAATTATAATCATAGACAAAATATATCAGGTTTAATTAAGTTATTAGCATAGTAAATAAGCTCAAATTTTTAGCCATATAAAAATATACCTGGCTGGAAAATTCTTTACTCATACTCTGTGGATTTACTTTGACGTGATAATATTCAAGGATTAAATTTGGCCAAGAGTTCAGTAGCATTACAGATTTGTATTTTGCTAAAAGGTTTGATGTGGCCAGATGTGTTTGGCAAACTATTGTCTGGCCAACTGTAGATTTGACTTGCCAGAGTGTGTACAGTTAAGTGTATATAATTGATACCTGATACATTTGGTAGATTTGAGACCAGGTATGCTAGGTGGGGTTTAACTAATAGTGACAGTATAAATACACAGGATTGTGTTTGGTTAATATATATTCTAATAGTTGTCTCAGAATGTATTTGCCCATTGATAGACTAAATTTGTATGTTCCGTTTCATTGTTAGTATAATACAATATGGTATCATGATATATCAACCTGCTTTTGGCCCTTTTTTTTTTCAAATTTGGAATGTACCAATTGTAGATCACAGCAGTATAAAAACCATGGACACACACCAGGATTCAAACCTGGAACCTTCTGAGGTTGTGGCAGTGCTTCATCAAAGAAGGCAGCAGGTTTGAATCCTGGTAACTTTCAATTGTTTTTTTTTTGTGCAGTTTTTGTCCTTTATCTTGTCTCAGAAGCTGAAAAATACCTGGTCATATTAAATACAATAATAGTTTCGGGTGATTAAAAAACCTGACCTGCAGACTTGGTGGTGACAGCACTAAGCATGCGGCCCTGAGTACTCAAGTTCAGAGACCCCCTTCCCCTCACTCACAGCAGAAGTGATCAATACTAGCAGTAATGGCAGTTTTTGTGTGTGTGGTGGGGGCAGTAATGGCAGTTTTTGTGTGTGTGGTGGGGGCAGTAATGGCAGTTTTTGTGTGCGTGGTGGGGGCAGTAATGGCAGTTTTTGTGTGTGTGGTGGGGGCAGTAATGGCAGTTTTTGTGTGTGTGGTGGGGGCAGTAATTTAGGGAAGAGATTATTAATGAAACAGGGTTTCTCAGAGAATAGTCAGTGGTAGGCCAACACATGGGGGAGCTCAGGACATCAGAGTCATCACAGGCGAGAACAAGTATTCAAGAATCGGCAAGCATCTGGTGTCTTTCTGGGCAGGTCATCGTGGGAGCAGTGTCGAAGACCGCTTAGAGCAGTGGCTCTCAACCTTCTAATGCGTTGACCCGTTAATACAGTTCCTCGTGTTGTGGCGACCCTTTAATTCAGTTCCTCATGTTGCGTTGACCCGTTAATACAGTTCCTCATGTTGTGGTGACCCTTTAATTCAGTTCCTCATGTTGTGGCGACCCTTTAATTCAGTTCCTCATGTTGTGGGGACCCTTTAATTCAGTTCCTCATGTTGTGGCGACCCTTTAATTCAGTTCCTCATGTTGTGGTGACCCTTTAATTCAGTTCCTCATGTTGTGGGGACCCTTTAATTCAGTTCCTCATGTTGTGGTGACCCTTTAATTCAGTTCCTCATGTTGTGGGGACCCTTTAATTCAGTTCCTTATGATGTGGTGACCCTTTAATTCAGTTCCTCATGTTGTGGTGACCCACCAACCATACAGTTTTTTTCCGCTGCTACTTCATAACTTTAGTGAATATGTGTTTTCCGATGGTCTTAAGTGACTCCCATGAAATGGTTGTTCAACCCTGAATGGGCTCATGTCTCACAGCTTGAGAACCACTGGTTTACAGTGATGTCTTCTTTGATCTGTACTTGTGTCCTGATGTCACTTTGAGAGCTGGTTGGCATCTGTGTCAGTGGGCTCAGAGTTTCCCCAGCAGAGAAACTAGACTGTATCAATGTAGAAATGATGTGCCAGATTGCCCTCAGTTAAAATATCACTCATTTGTAATGAGCCATTAATTACATGACAGTACATGGATCTGATTGTATTCCTCTGTTAATTTATCCTTTTTGTTTTAACTTATGAGTTTTCTTATGCTTGCTTGAGTTTATTGAACCAGCTTTTGTATACCTCAGCTAAATGTCGGCAGTTTTGTACTTAACCATTGTGTCATTGCCGTTATAGATGACTTTATTTTTGTTGGAGTATTTTCTTGCTGTTTTGTTCATAACATCTAATGTGATTTGTGTATTATCTGTTCATGACAGTCCTGTGACTTCTGGTAGAGATAATCTCAACATCCACAGCCAGTGTAGAAATTCCCAGTAAATGTTCCAGGGCCCTGTTTGGAGGGGGGAGGGAGGGAGGGGGGGGGGAGGGGAGGGGGGAGCAAGAATGGACCCACCAAGGTGACTAACTATAGGTGTTTCCTTTAAAGACTGAGGGCATCTGCCTGAGAGACAAGATACCACCAGTCTGCACACACATAAGCCAGATCTGTAAAATGGATGTGCATGAAAAATGTAAGTTCTGGAACAAGGATAAAGTCAAGAAATGGACAAACAACCAGAACTTTCCCCTGGAGTTTACAGCTGGTGAATGTGAAGAAGAAGAAGAAGAAGAAGAAGAATATTGAAATGATCCACAAATGTTTAGGTTATTTCCTCCCCTAATTGAATTCTGGCAGTTCTTGAGGCATTGCTGAATTTACTGTTTAATAGGCTAATATGACTGTAGAGTGGAGACTTTCGGTGGCAGACTTGTACGTGTGTGAATGTATAAGTGATCTCTACGTATTCATTTTTCTGAGTGTCGACCAGTGTGAAGCTGTAATTGCTTGTGTCGTGTAATAGTAATGTTGTGAATTTCTATGATTATTTATCAATGACTGTTCTGTATTAAAATGGTTGTAGTTGTGTGTTTATACTGGTCTATATGTGAATGGTAGCACTTTTACGCATATTTAAGTGTAAGTTACAGTTGTGTTTGTAGCGATTTCATATTGATATATATATATGAATGCTTGTTTTTATCCATGTAGCACATTGACATGCTAGCTGTCTCCTGTCCAAGCTCTGTAAATGTTGTCTTCTGCTTCAAAATCTTGATTTTATATTCCGTTCAAGGCAGAAATGTTTCGTGACCAGATGGAGGAATATTTAATGATTATTTCATGACCTGATGGTTCCAGACTGACATCAGCCTCACATAATGATCTGCCGTTCCCATATTTCCAGACTGACATCAGCCTCACATAATGTTCTACCATCCCCATGGTTCCAGACTGACATCAGCCTCACATAATGATCTACCATCCCCATGGTTCCAGACTGACATCAGCCTCACATAATGATCTACCATCCCCATGGTTCCAGACTGACATCAGCCTCACATAATGATCTACCATCCTCATGGTTCCAGACTGACATCAGCCTCACATAATGATCTGCCGTTCCCATGGTTCCAGACTGACATCAGCCTCACATAATGTTCTGCTGTTCCCATGGTTCCAGACTGACATCAGCCTCACATAATGATCTACTGTCCCCATGGTTCCAGACTGACATCAGCCTCACATAATGATCTACCATCCACATGGTTCAAGACTGACATCAGCCTCACATTATGATCTACTGTCCCCATGGTTCCAGACTGACATCAGCCTCACATTATGATCTACTGTCCCCATGGTTCCAGACTGACATCAGCCTCACATAATGATCTACCGTCCCCATGGTTCCAGACTGACATCAGCCTCACATAATGTTCTACCATCCCCATGGTTCCAGACTGACATCAGCCTCACATAATGATCTACTGTCCCCATGGTTCCAGACTGACATAAGCCTCACATAATGTTCTACCATCCCCATGGTTCCAGACTGACATCAGCCTCACATAATGATCTACCATCCCCATGGTTCCAGACTGACATCAGCCTCACATAATGATCTACCATCCCCATGGTTCCAGACTGACATCAGCCTCACATAATGATCTACCATCCCCATGGTTCCAGACTGACATCAGCCTCACATAATGATCTACCATCCCCATGGTTCCAGACTGACATCAGCCTCACATAATGATCTACTGTCCCCATGGTTCCAGACTGACATCAGCCTCACATAATGATCTACCATCCCTATGGTTCCAGACTGACATCAGCCTCACATAATGATCTGCCATCCCCATGGTTCCAGACTGACATCAGCCTCACATAATGATCTACCATCCCCATGGTTCCAGACTGACATCAGCCTCACATAATGATCTACCGTCCCCATGGTTCCAGACTGACATCAGCCTCACATAATGTTCTACCATCCCCATGGTTCCAGACTGACATCAACCTCACATAATGATCTACCATCCCCATGGTTCCAGACTGACATCAGCCTCACATAATGATCTACCATCCCC